TCACCCAGATCAAGCCACTGTGTTGAGCCACATCCTATAATAGGCGAAGCATGGGAAGCCTTAAGGCGTTCTATAGTTCAGTTCCGCGGACAACCTGTGGGAACTCTTGCTGCTGTTGATAATTCTACCGAGGAACTTAACTATGATCAGGTACAGCTTTTTATCATATTCTAGTTCTTAGGTTGATGCTACAACTTCATATACTCCCTTTATTCCATGTTATGTCACAGTATCTCCTTATTAATTTGTTCAAAGAAGAATGTCACTTTTCTATACAACAACAACCCTGTGGAATCAATTGGGTCGGGGAAGAATGTCGCTTTTCTATATTTGGAAAAAATTTAACTTTAAACATCTGATTCTACCCTTACTAATATATTTTTATAGCCACAGGAATCTCCTGAAGAGTCTTTTCTGTCTTTCTTATACTCTATGCCCAGCCAAATATCACTGCATAAAAAGAGACAGGGGGTAATTATTAAGGATCTTGAATCAGTGAGTTCAATTTTCACTATAATATGGATAATGAAGTTATTGCATTATTCTCACATCACAAAGATCAGTTTTCAATTCAATTGTTTGAGGTTGGTGGTCAGTGGATAATGTCTAAGATTTAATTTAAGTTAATAAAAATGTATCGTCTATAATAGCTTAAGCTTTGGATGAGATGGTGAACACTAGAATAATCCTATTTGAGTAATGCTCGTAATGGAACATATTCGCATCTTCAATTTGCGGGCACACTAGGATGGATAAGATTAGGAATGATGATATTCGGGAGAAGGTGCACGTGGCTCCCATTGATGACAAGATGCAGGAAGCGAGGCTCAGATGGTTCAGGCATGTTCAGAGGAGAAGCCCAGATGCTTCGGTAAGGAGGTGTGAGCGGCTGGTTGTGGAGGGCACGAGAAGAGGTAGGGGGCGGCCTAAGAAATATTGGGGAGAGGTGATCAGGCAGGATACGGCGAGGCTTCAGATTTCCGAGGACATGACACTTGATAGGAAGATGTGGAAGTCGAGTATTAGGGTTGTAGGTTAGGAGGTAGTTGAGTCTTGACTTACTTTGTACCTTTGTGAGACTAGTCAGGTAGGGTTTTTGTCTAAGATAGTTAGTGACAATGTGTCTTACTATTTCGCTTTTGAGTGTATGACCTATTTACTAGCTATCGCTTTTGCTTTGCATCTTTCTTCTGCATTTCATTTTGTTCATATTTTTCCTATGATTGTTGTGCTAAACTAATACTATCTTCTTTTGTCTTTTTGTTTTCTTGAGCCGTGGGTCTTTCGGAAACAGCCTCTCTACTCCTTCGGGTAAGGGAAGGTCTGCGTACACACTACCCTCCCCAGACCCCACTAGTGCGATTTTAATGGGTTGTTGTTGTTGTTGTAGTATATTTGATCAAAATGAGAAAACATCAATGATTCTTAATGAACCTTGCACCTCTGACTTAAAAAAACTATGGCAGGTATTTGTGAGAGATTTTGTGCCTAGTGCATTGGCATTTTTGATGAATGGTGAACCTGAAATAGTCAAAAATTTCCTTCTGAAAACGTTACGGCTCCAATCATGGGAGAAGAAGATAGACCAGTTCAAGTTAGGGAAGGAGTTATGCCTGCAAGTTTTAAAGTAATTCATGATCCTGTTAAGAACTCTGATACAATAGCTGCTGATTTTGGGGAATGTGCTATAGGCAGAGTTACTCCTGTAGATTCTGGCTTCTGGTGGATTATACTCCTTCGTGCATACACAAAGTCTACAGGGGACACTTCTTTAGCTGAAATGCCTGAATTTCAAAAGGGTATACGCCTGATTCTGGCTTTAGGTCTTGCAGAAGGTTTTGATACATTTCCGACCTTGCTCTGCGCTGATGGATGCTCTATGATTGATCGCAGAATGGTCAGTCTCGTGAACGCGATCTCTTCTCCTTTTTTTCCATTGCTGTTGAGCTAGAGGCGGATTTAGACAGGTTCTGTAGGTTCAATTGAACTCATTGCTTTCGGCTTGAACTATATATACATGCAAAAGAAATTAAGATATAGGAGTACTTACATCTTAAAAATGATATATGATTTGTTTGTTAGCCTATTGAATGATATTGAGATAAGACTTTTTACCATATTGCATGTCTAAACTAAAACAAAATCTACCTTCTTTCGACTTACTTTACAGCATCCACCTCCAGAGGCAGATCCGGAATTAATCTTAATGGGTTTAACATTTAAGATTCTTAGCATTGAATTTATTGTACTAATAAAATTGTGGGTTCAAATCTAATATTTATTGATATTTTAGTAGTTTTTTTACGTACTCCCTCTGTTCCAGGTGAACCTATTTCCTTTTTGGTCCGTTCTAAAAAGAATGACCCTTTTCTAAATTTGGTAACAATTTAGCTTAAACTTACAATTCTACCCTTAATGAAAAGCTTTTATAATCACACAAATACTCTGGGCCCTTTTTGAGTTGTTTAGGACCACAAATTTCAAAAGTCTTTCATTTTTTCTTAAATTCCGTGCCCAGTCAAACAGGTTCACATAAATTGGAACGGAGTGAGTATACATCTATACTCTATATAAAAAATTATGGTTTCAAATGAACTCATAGGAAGGGGAGCCTTGGCGTAACTGGTAAAGTTACTGCTATTTGATCAGGAGGTCACGGGTTCGAGCCATGGAAATAGCCTCTTGCAGAAATGCAGGGTAAGACTGCGTACAATAGACCTCTATGGTCCGGCCCTTCCTCGGACCCCTCGCATAGCGGGAGCTTAGTGCACCAGTTCAGATTCAAATGAACTCATAGGCAAAAGGCTACACATTCCCGCTCTTTCATCCTGTACTCCTTCCATTTATTCTGAATATAGCTTCGAATATGATCCTTTGTATCGTAAGTTCTTTCTTTACTATTCAAGTTTCTGGCCAATACCAACTTACTACTTGTGTCTAGTAAAGTTCCTCTTATCGGTGTTTTGCCAACACACGAGTTCGACTATTTATGTCCTGTTGTTAATTTGTCAGGGAGTTTATGGCTATCCAATTGAGATACAAGCGCTTTTCTTTATGGCCTTAAAATGTGCTTTGTTTCTACTAAAACAAGATGAAGAAGGCAGAGAATTTTCAGATCGAATAATTAAACGCCTTAATGCCTTAAGCTATCACATGAGAAGTTACTTTTGGCTTGATATGAAACACTTGAATGATATACACCGTTACAAGACAGAAGAGTACTCTCACACTGCAGTTAACAAGTTCAACGTAATGCCAGATTCACTACCAGATTGGGTTTTTGATTTCATGCCAAGTCGCGGCGGTTACTTCATTGGAAATGTTAGTCCAGCTAGAATGGATTTCCGTTGGTTTTGTTTGGGTAATTGCATTGCAATTTTGTCCTCTTTGGCTACACCTGAACAAGCTTCAGCGATAATGGATCTCATTGAATCGCGATGGGAAGAGCTTGTTGGAGAAATGCCACTCAAAATTTGTTATCCTGCCATGGAAAATCATGAATGGAGGATTGTTACGGGGTGTGATCCTAAAAATACTAGCTGGAGTTACCATAATGCTGGATCTTGGCCAGGTTAGTTCCTCCTGTTTTGAAAGCCCAAAAGTTCATCTCTAGTTAGTGATTTATTATTTGTCAAACATACTGTGATGTATGCAATATGCTTGTTGAGTAGCTTAACAAACTAATTGGTGAATGGAGTGTAAGATTTTGAACCTGATGAATTCAACCTTTGATGTTTTTTTAGCACTAAACTTATTGTACTATAGAAATTATCGATTCAGAATTTAGTATTTCTTGAAATTTTAGTAATTTTACACATATGTATCTAGTTCTAGGAGAAAATACTAGGTTCAACTGAACTCCTCGGATAAAGGCTCCCTCCACCTTGACTATGTGAGCAAAGCATAACATATTCCAAACTCGAATAAAGGAGGAGGGGTTATGGTTTTTTACCTAAATTGGCCCAATGATACTCTTCTAGGCTAAGCCCGCACCGTTTTCCCAAAAAGCCTCACACCATTAAAAGTATCCACCATCTTATAAGTAACTTTCTTTTCTTTTTTACTTTTCATATGGGACTTTGTTCACACACATCCAACAGTGATAGGTTGATGGTCAGTGTAATACAAATCAAATGATTCTTCTAAAGCGAAATTGGCTTGGATAGAACATGTGATACAAATGATCCATATAGTTAACTACAACTAATTTGAGATTGAAGTGTAGTTGATTGACATCAATTTGCTTGTATTTTTTGTGTCTTAGTTCTTCTGTGGCTCCTTACTGCTGCATGTATCAAGACTGGAAGACACCAATTAGCAAGAAAAGCTATTGAACAAACAGAAACTCGTTTGCTAAAGGATAGTTGGCCAGAGTACTATGATGGAAAACATGGTCGTTACATTGGTAAACAAGCTCGGAAATTCCAAACATGGTCCATTGCTGGTTATTTGGTAGCTAGAATGATGCTTGAAGATCCATCTCATTTGGGTATGATAGCACTAGAAGAAGACAAACAGATGAAGCCTTCCATGAAAAAATCTACTTCTTGGTTTTGTTAATATCCTTATAGTCACTCTCAATTGCTTAAAGTACTTGTCTTTTAGATTTTATTTTGAGTTTTTGACATTCTTCTTGATTTGTAATGAAAATTTCTTTATTCAAGATAAGAGTGTATTGTGTTTTTGTTTCTCCTATTATATTGATCTTGTCCTAAAGATATACTTCAATTGATAATTATAATTTGTTATATACATATGCTGGTAAGTATACACTAAGAGAAGTACAGAAAGACATCAATAAAAGTAGGTTGTTGTAAGATGTTAATGATTATTCACCAAGAATTACATTCTGTCGATGGATGTTTACCAATTACTAGGGATTACTATTTGACTTGTTTTATACATTGGAGATTTGGGGTGATCACTAAAAGGTTTGGAAATCAAGATTATTTGTTAAGCAACACGCAATAGCAAATTCATCTCTCATAAAATCTGCATTCTGATAGAGAAGAAAGACACTTCCAGAGAAATTCTTTACTAAAATAAGCAAAAAGAAAACCTCCTTTACATGTAAGAATGAAAGAAATGATCCACGTTCGAATAGATAACTGAAGCACAAGAACATTTAGATGTTTAACAGGGAAATAACAGCCAGCAGAAAGAAGGTACAAATTTTGGAGGCAAGGGCAGGTGCTTATCTGGAGCAATAACATAAATCTCTATTCCTGCTTTTCCAACTCCCCCATTCTCTCTATAATTGCCTGCCGTTTTAAAAAAAGAGATTGTTCAGCAGCAAATTTTAGAAAACCACAGAATCAGGGCAGGATGAATAACAAGTGGGAGTGAGGGAGGGGTAACGTGTGTGAAAACAATTAATTTTATTGCCATTATCTCAAGGATGAAACAATGTCTAATCAACAATAGCTGCAGAAAATTGTCACTAGCAATAATGTTTTGGCTAAAAGTAGAAATTGACCACAATATTAGCATACATCAAAAGGACCAAATATTTTTCTGACAGCTACAGGATCTGCCTCTGACTATGGCAAAAGGTAATAGGAGGAGATTTTATTTTCTATTAAACTTACCTTCTTACTTGTTTCTTGAAGTTCCCCAGCAAGAATGAACTCATCTAATATCAGATATACCTGTAGATGGGGAAAATTTAACATAGGAAAACAGCACGTGTTAGATGATGACCATCAAATCTACAAACAAAAGCAATTTGGTGGTCATTATACATATCTTTCCTGAAAAAAGCATAGCTTCACATCAACATATTCTCAATATTGTGATGACTGTAACTTTTTTCATACAAAACTGTGCTGGAATATTGCTTTGCAAACTGGAAGCCTCAATTACTGCACATGCCCGAGCATAACAGAACTGTGATTTTTGCCTGCCATTTCATTGATAGGTTGGAAATAGTTACCATATATCCCCAGAAAACTAGAACACCAGACCTATTGTAATCCTCTGAAACCCCGAAGTTTTGTGATTCCATAAAGGAATTATCACCAGACTTTGTGCAGTCTCAGAATTGGTATTAGTTTTTAATTCTTGAGAATAAATGAGAGAACCAATAATATACATGGAGCTACTAATACTATTTTAGACACTTAAGGGTAACGGTTTTCTGGTTCTTAATAAATCTAATCTATTCCAGCATAAGCTTAAAATTAAAATGGAAAGAACATTCTAGTGTGCTGACATATAGGTAGGAAAAAAAATAAAGGTGGATTCAGTTCCTTCATTTAAAGCTAGAGGAATAACTCCTACGCAAACAGAACGACGGGGACGATCAACTCCAGTGTGATGGCTCCAAGAGCTCCTAGGCTTAAATTGAATATCTTCTTATTCCTACTCAATGTAGGTCACTCACAGCTCTTCTAGTACACTTCCTCTCGGATGATGAAAACGGAAGGAATAGCAGCTGCAGTCTTGAATCCTGATTGCAGATGAGGATGTTAATGGTCAACGAAGAAACTAAAGGGGTGTTTTTGTGCATGGTAATACCTTTTGATTTTTGATTGTTTACTGTGCATGATAATATTTAACAAACTAAGGTGGTTACCATCAGTGTGTTTTTTTTTTTTGTTTTTGTTTTTTTTTTTTTTGATAAGGTACAATCGGTGCTTTTGTTACAAAAGCTAAAATACATGTCTCATTTTAAATTTCTCTCGAGACACTTGGTGTATTTGGACCATTTGCTCCAGTATCCACCAGTTTTCGCCTACTAAATATCTAACTTAAAGGAATGTAATGATATGACCTGCAGTAAACCATTTAATTCAAGGAAGACCAAGTCACTACCGGGGAAGCAAGGGGCAATCTAAAGTAAATGAATACGACCCAAACTGCAGAAATCAGCAGATATCCCACCAGTAAAGTTTCCAACTCAGCAATTGACCAGCATATTGGCAATTCATTAGGAGAGCCAACATAACAACAGAAGTTCAGTAGCACTTATAGTAAGCTTCTAAGGTTCAACAGGGAGATCGTTGCATAGACTTGGAATTAAGCCAAGCACCATTACGACATAAGGGGCAATGCAAAACAAAAAAATTCTTTAAAGGAAAATTATTCCTTCACTAAGTAGCAACAGATGTGTCATGAGAAATGTCTAACCTTGTGGAAGTTAAAAACCAAATCTAGTTCACAGACGTTGCTGAAGAAATGATCCAAAATTTCGACAAACAAGTGGATGCTCTCAAGATAAGCTAACTCGTTGTCAGTAATATCAACACAGAGTGAGAAAAACAATCCTGCATATCTTCTGTATATAATCTTGTGGGTACGGAACTGAAAGGAAAAAGGATCATGAACAAGGAGTGTCATTACTTGTGAATGATCCAGGAAACACAGTTTAACAAAGCTGAAGAAAAATTGAAAACATAACAATAGAGAGCTATTTGATGCTGCATCAGATGAAAAACACAGCTGAGAGTACCTTTCTTTGACAAGTATAGCTTAGAATATATTAAATGCCAATAAATCATAGTGCAATGAGACTCGTCCTGATATGCAAATACCATCATCAAAATATCAAAGGAAATGGGAGCAACTCCCTCATTCAAATACACTTCTCGCTGGATTCCCTTTTCTCAAGTATCCCCTTGAGGTTTAGCAAAAAAAGGTAATAATTTTTCCCTGTTTTCAAGTTTGATTCCTTTCTAGAATACCTTGAATAGGAGCCAAATAAACAAATTCAATTGTTTTTCACACTTATGTTTCCTTCCCTGAAAAATGAGTTCTCCTTATACTGAAACAACATAAAAAGACTTGGAAAATGACACAAGAATTATCAATACGCCATCCAAATATAACTGCACAAGAAACCGAGAAGGTTGGGATGATAATTGTGCCTAATGGGGAAACAGGCCATCTAATTTCCACCAAGACCACATCTTTCTTTCATTAACTAGACATAAGTTAAGATCACTAAATACAACAAGGAATTAGTGGTCCATGAAGTGGGTTGAGAAACGTGAGGTCTCAGGTTTAAATTACAATGGAGACAACCACAATAGGTGATGGTTTTCCATCTTTCCAAGCCTTCGTGGACATAGTTACATGGTAGCTATTGCTGATGGGAGGTAGAAGGTGCTAGCCAGGACACCACGGTTAGCAAGGAAAAAATAGACACCGGGCAAGATTCTTAAATATCAAAACATAAGAAAGTACACCGACTAAAACCAACCATTATACAGATAATCAAGTAAAAAGATTTCTACATAAGTATGATTAAGAACTCAATGGTAAATAACTTTTGTTTTTTGGGGAAGCTTATTTCATCGAGGCATTATAGATTAATTGAAACTTAAAAGTAGAAATATAGCAGCTTTTCGACTAAAGCCTAATAATTATCTAACATTTGAACATTTATACCTCCACAAAGTTGGTGAATTTGGGATCTCTATTCACCACCAACCGATGAACCTACAGGCACCAAATTGAGATTATAAGAAAACCCACAAGCCAAGAATTAACAAGATACATTACACAAAACGAGAAGCAAAATTATAATACCTCGTACTCGACCTTGTGCTTCTCGGATTCCTCGAGAGGAATGTAATATTTGGCCAGACGGGTCTTCCCTTGTCTGTTCTGAAGCACTATGAAACGGATCTGCCAATTTCCAAAATGTCCCAATTCAAAACAATTGAGCTCTATGTTAAAGGCAAAAACTTGAAGAGTAAAATTACCATTCTTGAGAGGATCGATAAAAGAGAGCCGGAGAAAACGGGTAAGACGACTCGGAGGAGTTACAGATGCTCACTTTGATTTTTGAGTCGTAAATATCACCTGGTTTTTATGGAAACTGATCAACAAGGAGTACTTGCAGAGAACCAGTTAACCAATGGCTACTTTTGGTAGCATAACTTAATGGCTAATATTTATGTATTTGTGGCTATTTCTGTAATTTGCTCTTACAATTAAGATATAATTGAGAAATTGTTTGGTTTGAGTAAAAATCATGTTGGTGTTATAAATAAATTATATTATGAATGTTCATTTAGGCCCCGTTTGGCCATAAGTTTTGTCAAAATAAATTTGAGATTTATTTTCAAAACTCATGTTTGGCCATAAATTTTGCTCATATTTTGGCCAAATCCCAAATCAAAAATTTCAAATTCCAAAATCAGCTATTGAACTGAATTTGGGCCAACATCTCAAAACTTGGGAATTATATACATGTTTTTTCAAAATAAAGTTGGAAAATATGTTTTGAAAACGTATGTCCAAACACATTTTCATCTTCAAACAAAACTTCACCCAAATCAGATTTTTCAAAATAAATTTGGGATCTATGGCCAAACGCCAGCTTAGTACTCCCTTGTAAATAAGCTTCATGAACAAGCTTATCCATATGGGACTTCGTCGTAAATATGTTTATCTATTTAGTACTCTATGGAAATAAGTCTCCTGAAGAGGCTTATCTCTTCGGTACTCGGTTATGGATAAACATTATCCTGGTAGAAGATTATCCATACCGGGTACAATAAGCTTATCCTTTCGATACTTCGTTATGGATAAACATTACCCCGGTAGAAGATTATCCATACCGGGTACAATAAGCTTATCCTTTCGATACTCCATTATGGATAAACATTACCCCCAGTTGAAGATTATCTATATCTGGTAAGGTAGCAGCTTACATAGCAGCTTGCAGTAGCAGCTTACACAACAGCTTGCTTTCTTCAATAAATAGAGGAGATTTCAGTTTATTATGTACATCAGTTTTGAAGTTGAATAATATATCAGTTTCTTTCTATACTTGTCTTTACTTTATAGTCATTATTTTATAACACGTTATCAGCACGAGACTCTGCCATCTCGAGCAAATACTTTGAGAGTATCTGAGGTACGAACTTTCTTTTCCTAAATAATGTCAAATCTTTCTAAACTTGAATTTGTAGCCCTGGATATATCGGGCAAAAGCTACATGTCTTGGGTCCTTGATGCTGAAATTCATCTTGATGCGATGGGTCTGGCAGACACCATCAAAGACAAAAATCAGGCATCAAACCAAGACCGTGCCAAAGCAATGATATTCCTACACCATCACCTTGATGAGGGCCTGAAAAATGGAATATCTTACTGTTAAAGATCCAGTCATACTAAAGGAATAATTTGAAAGATAGATATGACCACCTGAAGATGGTCGTTCTTCCACAGGCACGATATGATTGGACTCATCTAAGGCTACAATATTTTAAATCTATCAGTGAGTATAGTTCTGCTATGTTTAGAATTATTTCCCAATTGAAATTATGTGGTGATAGTATTACTGATCATGATATGTTGGAGAAAACTTCTACCACTTTTCATGCCTCGAATATGCTACTGCAGCAGCAATATCGAGAGATGGGATTTAAAAAGTATTCTGAACTTATCTCACATCTTCTTGTAGCCGAGCAACATAATGGGCTATTAATGAAAAACCATGAAAGCCGACCTACTGGTTCTTGTACATTCCCTGAAGTGAATGAGACGAACTTCCATCAAGCTAAACGTGGAAGAGGTCGTGGCCCCAGTCGTGATCATGGCCGTGGTCGAGGAAGAAACTCTAATCATGGTAATAATAATGCACCAAAGAACCCTCCTCACTACCAGCAGTGGAAAAGGAAGGAACAAAAGCATGAAGCGATGCAAGCACCAAATGCAGAAAATGCATGCTACAGATGTGGAGGAAAAGGGCACTGGTCACGTACCTGTCGTACGCCAAAGCACCTGGTTGAGCTTTATCAAACCTCCCTAAAGAAGACAGAGAAAAATGCTGAAACAAATTTTATTTCTGAAGATAATTTAGACTTCATGCATTTGGATGTAGCTGATTACCTTGCACTCCCAAATGGAGAAACAAGTCATGTAAGCGGTGGTGAATCTGTAGAAATGTAAATATTTTAATTTTTGTTGTTTGTAATAGATAGTATGGTTATGTAATTATTGTACATAAATAAAAGTTATGATTTGATAATGATGTTTACTATAATATATTTTATTTATGTCATTTTGAAGAATATGGATAACATTATTAGATCAACTTAAACTCCAGCAGAGTTTGCAAGAATACAATCACCAGAAGTGGTTATATTTCGTATATGTCATTGTAACTAAATTTTGTTAACCACCAGAAGTGGTGTATGCCTATGATTACCAGAAGTGATAATTTAGGTTTTGTATGGTTACAATTGAAGATAAGCTACATAAATATTCTCTATATTAAATACACGCCTCGATTTGCTCCTGAAGTAGTAAATATTTTAAAAGAGGTTGAAGCATCACAATTTGATGTGATTAATGCGCGTTCAGATAATTATGTTCGATTTCTGAAGAATGGGAACTTTTGATAATATTAATTCATTTTCCGAAGTGAATATGACAATATTAATAAATCTCGTAAATATGAACGCGCTCTTGATGTAAATATATTACGATTAACCTCAAGAAGAGGTAATATAACAGAGAGAATATATACTCAAAATTTTGTATTTTAAATTTGCTCCTGAAGAAGTAACACAATTGAAATTTGCTCCTGAAGAAGTAACACATTTGAAATTGCCTCTAGAAGTAGGAAAATATTATGAAGAAGAGTTTTCTTGTGCTTAAACAATTGTTTTACATTGTTTATTTGATTGTGATTTTCTCTCATGATACCAGAATTGTCTGAGCAATATTTGATAGTACAAAATATATCAACAACTCCTGAAGAGCTAATGTTTGCCTAGAAGACACATGACACAGTAGTGTCCGATAAATATTAGATTGTGGATAATAATGAAGGCTCTCGAAGAGCTTATATACAATATGTCATTCATATTATATGATTATGGTCAAAACATATATTGTATTAAACCTGAAGTTTACTAATACAAATGACTATCATATTGAGACTACAAATGACTGAAGATTGAAAATCTTCATGTTTTCACAATCATAGGGGGTAAAATAATATGTATGTGAGAAGTTACCCGCCTTATTCTTCAATTTATATGATATCTTATATCACAGTAAATCAGAAGTTTACTAAGAGGTAGCACATGCCATGATAAACTTGAAGTTTTCATTTGCCATTTTAAATAAGCTATTTGAGAATTCAGATAAGCATAACCGAAGAACTAGAAGATTCTTCAAGAATTCTCCTGTGTTGCTTGTTCTCATAATAAATTGATTATACCAACTAAAGTTGGGACTAAGACCCCTGAATTCTGAAATATATAAAAGGTGAATATGGTTCCATTCACCTATCGTGTAAACCACTTATAGATGCATATATGAAATGGTTACATGTGTGATTATTGTCAACCTGCAGTTTGGCATTTGAAATTGCTTTTCTCAAATAAGAGAATGATTTTCAGATTATGAAATCAAGACAATTCATCTTGATAATGTTGGTTTATATCCAAGATGGTTTAGCATTAAATACCTCCTATTAATGGCTAAACTATTGCTTATGAGAACAAAGATTCATGTGTTGGCCTAAGATTTTCCAAATTGCATACATCAGCACTTGTATGCATCAGACCAACAATATATTATAAAGTCCTCCCCTCACAATTGGTTTAGGATCAGAAATCAAATATTTTTACTATCTTTTGATGTGTGGTATATGACTAATTTCTCTACCACAATACACAAAGATATGTTTCCCAAAGAAGATTGGGGATATATGTTAATTTTTCTAACATTTGAGGGATGGAATAAATAGCTGAAAAATATGCTATATGAATCGAATTATCATTAATATGATCCTCACTTAGAAGATAATTCAAGTCAAATGCCAGAAGCATTTGTTGATCCAAAATTTAATATCATATTTCAGCTGCAAATGCTCCATTTAAAATTAAAGTCCTTGGAGGATAGAGTTTAATGTACGCATGAAGCGTGGTAGACCAATCGGTTCCAAAAGTAACAATCCTTGAAAAATAGTAGGAGCTAATGATCATAATGAGGAGGAAATAAGCTCTAGAAGAGCCCACGACATAACATTTCATGAAACTCCTGAAGAAGTTCAGGTACCTGAAAATAAAGAAAGTGATGAGATCTCAACAAGTTATGTCGCTTAGGAACTGAGACAAAATGATCGTCAACGATATATTTGATACAATATAATGCATAATATTGTAAAAGATTGTGAGGATCGGACCAGCAATCCAGAAACTTGAAGATGTTATACCATTTAGATACAAGTCATAACCTATATGACTTATTTGATTAAATCTATATGAAGATCCTTGAAGAATTTAAAATGCCTGAAGCATATAATTCAAAGTCTTGAGAAATGTACTCAATTAAATTATAAAGATCTTTGTATGGTTTAAGCAATCTGGGCGCGTGTGGTATAATCGCCTTAGTAAATATTTGCTAAAAGAAGATTATATAAATGATGTTATTTGTCCATGTATTTTTATAAAGAAAATAGCATCAAAATTTGTTGCACTTGCTGTTTATGTTGGTGACATAAATCTTGTTGGAACTCCAGAAGAGCTCCAAAAAGGCAATTGAATATCTTAAGAAAGAATTTGAGATGAAAGATCTTGGAAAAATAAAAATTTGTCTTTGGTCTGCAAATTGAATATTTAGCAGACGGGATCTTTATCCATCAATTTTCCTATACAGAAAGGGTCTTTAAACGCTTTTACACGGACAAAGCGCACCCATTAAGTACACCAATGGGTGTTCGATCACTTGAAGTGAATAAGGATCCGTTCCGACCTCCAAAAGAGGATTAGGAACTCCTTGGTCCTGAAATACTCTATCTCAGTGCAATTGTTATGCATTTATGTATCTTGCTAATGCTAACAAAGGTGGTGCAAATCGTATTGGTTATGCAGATACAAGATAAGAATGCGGAGACTCAAATATTTAAAACAAGGTTTTCATCAGGGGGAGTAAAATACGCGATGCACTCTTTTTTCCTTACTAAGGTTTTTTCCCACAGGGTTTTCCTTATAAGGTTTTTAATGAGGCACCTAGCAATGCGTATTACTAAATATGTGTACTTTTTTCCTTCACTAGAATTTTTTCCCCACGGGGTTTTTCCTAGTAAGGTTTTAATGAGGCACATTATCTTTTAATGAACATCCAAGGGGGAGTGTTATAAATATATTATATTATGAATGTTCATTTACTACTCCGCTGTAAATAAGCTTCCTGAAGAAGCTTATCCATATGGGACTCCGCCGTAAATATGTTTATCTATTTAGTACTCTGTTGGAAATAAGCCTCCTGAAGAGGCTTATCTCTTCGGTACTCGGTTATGGATAAACATTACCCTCGGTAAAAGATTATCCATACCGGGTACAATAAGCTTATGCTTTCGATATTCCGTTATGGATAAACATTACCCCCGGTAGAAGATTATCCATACCGGGTACAATAAGCTTATCCTTTCGATACTCCATTATGGATAAACATTACCCCAGTTGAAGATTATCTATATCTGGTACAGTAGCAGCTTAACATCAGCTCGCTTTCTTCTATAAATAGAGGAGATTTCAGTTTATTATGTACATCAGTTTTGAAGTTGAATAATATATCAGTTTCTCTCTATACTTGTCTTTACTCCATAACCATTATTTTATAACAGTTAGGATAATTTTTATTTTCTTTACCACATGTTAATCTTGGGAAAATTTGGTTGGATTAGTCGGTTGGGCTCACTGGTGAGATCTCCTTTTCCTTTTGAACCCACCTAACAAGTTTCAAGTAGTAACAGAACCACCATCTCCCCAAAAAGAAAAAAAGAAAGGAAAAAGAAGAAAAAACATATGGTATTATATACTAATTAATTCTTCAAAAATTCTACTTAGTGAAATTATTTTGGTGCTTAGTTTCCTAAAGTTGATCATCTAGTGTAAAATTTCTTGCGCTAGAATAGGGAAATAATTTGGCGTTGATGGGCTTACGTTATTTTCTTCTAATTATCGTTACGCTCACTTTATTTCATGTATTTTAGCTAACATGTAAAATAATATTGTAACCTTTGAATACTCATATTATTATTCTAAGGGGCGGATTTTGTTGGGATATATACTATTAACCATGATTTTGATTTAGATATAGTATTTATTATGGAATAATTGTTATTCAATTTTAATAAAGTATTAAATAGATCATATATTAGTCTGTGTCCTTTGCTTATATTATATAGTAGATGATTTAGTGTATAGAGTTTAGCTTATACACGGATTAAATCATCGGTTCTTATAAGTATAAAGTTTGAGTTCACAATCTAATGATGGAGTTGGACAAACCATCATGGATGATTGTAGCACAAGATTAAATATAATTTATCTTGATTATGGGTGGTTTAATTCCAACTTCTTGTGCTAGTACATTTTGTATGTGTTGAACGGACCAAGTAGAGATAAATATTTTATACTGACTTAATAAAATAAACCCTCTAGCCATTAAATGTACTTATACTCTTAATCTTGATATAACTATTATTATTTGTGTACATTATTATTGTTTTGATTTATTAAAAGGCGAGATTCTTTCGTGGGTCAATATGCCTGATAAATTGGATAGTAATAATGTACATTGGCGAAGTAATATTTAGTTGATGGAATCCATGTCTCAGTTTAGAGATTGATGAAACACCTTTATGAAAACTTATAAGTTTTCATGTGTAAACCCGGCCGGTGGATTTTGTATCCGACACATGAAATAAGTTAAGCGAAAGTCTAAAGAAAATAATCAATAAATTAAATCGTCGGTAATGTAATTTAATTGATTAGTATCTAAATCTTAACATGGGGAGTTAAATAAGATTTATTGGATGAATTTTGAAATTGAATAAGGAGTGCAATTACGAATTTTTAGTAGAATAATTCGTAATTAATTATGGTGGATATTAATTTCGAAAATTAGAAATTAATTCCATAATTGAAAGCGTTGTTAATTAATTCTATGGTCCCTGTTGTGCCTAAATAATAGGAAATAAAGGAATCCTTTTTCTGGTGGAAAAGGAAACCCAACAGGTTTTGGAAAAGGGTTTTAACCCTTAAAACTTGTGCTATAAATAGATAAGGTTTTCCACCTTAGAAAATAGAAAATGGAAATTTTCAGCCAAGTTTTCCTAGAAATTTCGCCCACACGAAATTGCTATTTGTTAATATACTGTATTTGTAAAATAATTATGGAGAAAATAAAATAACATATAAACAGAAATACAAAAGAAACAGAAGTTAATTCGAGCCCACTGAATTCACAGTGTTTCCTTAAGGAATTTAATCCCCTCCTAGTACCCAAGGTTATGGATTATCCTCCCAGGATAGAACGAATTAGACACTGGTGTAGTGGTACTTCAAACCCCAGTGTTTCAGCGAACACAAAGTTCGGTAGCAAATGACACTTACTGCTACTTTCTTTGAAGTTAAAGTATGCATAAGAAAGGAGGAGAACTCAGAAAATCGTATGGTAAATCTGAGAGAATGGACTGGTATTTATAGCCAATGTTGAGCTCAAAACTGAAGAGGTGCAACTCTTCAGAATGGTAGTTTTTGTAAAACAGCCATAACACAAATGGATAATTTATGCAACAATAAACCGGGAATTGAAGAAGGAGGTTAATTTTCAGTTACAAAACCGAAAAACTGAAAACGGATAACGGAAATAAAATGTTTAATATTTCTGTTGGATTTAATATTAATAATCCGCTGGATTTCTTATTTTCTATTGACAAATACATTTGGTCCAAAAAATTAATCAATCAATTGTTTGACCGAAGCCGAAGCCGGCCGAGCGACGACGACGGCGCGGGGCTTGCCTTCTTCTTAACTCTTTAAGAGCTAGAAGAAGTGCAATTGTATATATTCCAATCAAAAACCTTTTCCTCTTCCAATATGGGACAATGTCCCATTGTCAAGAGGGGGAAACTTAAAATTTCACTTAAAATTTTTATTTTCCCATCATTTCTCATTCACCCTCTTTTAAGCCTATTTAGCTTAAACCTCAACACTATTTTCGGATATTATTTGGGTAACACAGTAGAAGACCGTGGAACGTTCGAGGATCATGATCGTGCGGGTGGTGGAGATTTCATTCAGTTGCTGTTTAATTAGCGACTCACGTGATAGAGGAGCTTTGTTCACGCTTCAAGAGGTAACCCGTGAAATCCTGTTTATACTAGTTGTCTAGATTACATGAGATTTTGATACTGGGATTGCTTCCGCTGCTTATTATAATCCATCAGATTTAACCTGTTTTTACAGTACACATGAACTCACTATCCGTTCGCCAAACAAGGTATTTTATGTATATATTTCGTAAAATTGATCTAATATTATTTGTTGGCCTCCATAGTTCAAAAAATTTGAATGGCATACTTGGTTGAGTGCTAAATTATTTATCCAAAGGGACGTAGATCAATTTTCACCTTTTAGCACCTTTTTTCTCGCTTTTCCAATGGTGCACTCATATTTTAAAATTTTAGATTCGCCTCTGATTCTTGTTTCCACAATTATACTGTTAGTATATGTTACGTAACCTTAATACACATTAAATACCAATAAAGGATAGAAAGAAGCTTCCCAAAAGCAAATGCACTAAAAATATTTTACATTATATGGAAGAACCTGAAGAAAAGAAGGAAACAAAGAAAAAAAAGGGTGTATAAGAGAATAAATCAAGTGAAGTGGACGCGAAGAAAAGAAGCTCCACGTCTAGCCATACTCTAGCTGCTCCCTCTTTTAAGTCTTTTTAAATATCTACCTCAGCAAATTAACACACTACTCCATTACTAGTTTACGTACGAACTACCAAACAATTACAGTCTTGAAACTAGTAAAAGCTATATATTCATATCGTGGGAAATATATAATAGTCATAATTTTTGGTCATCAGTTTGGTTAATATTGAACAAAATGGAAGTAGGATATTGTGAAGGTGGTGTGAAGATGATGAGATCAAAGGCAGAGATAGACACAAGTGCACCTTTTCGTTCAGTGAAGGAAGCTGTCACGTTGTTTGGCGAAAGAGTTCTTGCTGGAGAACTCTATTCTCCTAATAAACTCAGACAGGTCCTTTATCTTCTATTTCCCACTTTAATATTTTGCACCCCAAATAGCCAGTCAGATTCAATATTTACTTTTTCTAGCCAGTAGACAAAGATTGTACATTAATAAACACGAATTATACATATATTATACATATCTCGGCTATTTTTAGTTTTCGGAGATCAGGTGTGTAGCTATTTAGGTTAATTCTCCAATTTATTAAATTCTCGTTATTTGGTTATATTGTCATAATATGAAAGTTTATATGTCCAACTTGAATCAATCTCAAAGGATCCTTAATTAATACTCAGAGAAGAAGAATACATACTAACATGATTTTAATCAGTGACATTTTTACGGTTTACCCAAAACTAAAAAGCGCATCAATTCCATGTTTTCTGATTAATTAGCCAGGATGCTTCTATTAATTTGATCTTATATGGTTTCAAAAGACAAACTTTTACTGTTGCTTAGTACTCCCTTTGTCCAACTCTATGTGATATAATTACTATATTTGGAGAGTTAAAGTAGTTTTTTTTAATCATGATTTTTGCATATGATTTTTAAATATTTTGAATTTTTAATCATTGTGACTTATGGAGTAGTAGTTTTTATCTAATTTCTAAATATATAAATTTTATTTCAAAACTTTAAGATTTTATGTTTGAATTCACACTGTTTGACCCTCATATATATATTCCGTGTCACATAAAGGTGGACAGGCGGTGGAATTTATGTTGTAAGCCATCATGTGTCAACTTGCGAATATTGTGTATGTGCTTTGGAAAAGAATTTAAATAAAAAAAAAACCTTTAATTACTTAGGCAGTAATACAAGTATTTCTTTCTCGTGTTAGGGAATAAAGGGATGACATAATAGAGAAAGAACTAGTATTATCAATACTAGACGTGCACTAACTGATAAAAGAATTTAATAGTACGTAGTAGAGTATTGAAGTACAAGATTAAGAAACAATCAAAGTGTAATAAAAAAGATTTCAAGGAATCCATTAAAGAGTAGTAAAAAAATAGTACTAAGTATATTTATACAGTGAACTTTTCTCTTTTTCGATGAACAGATGCAAGATGGAGAGAGTGAAAGTGACAACGTCCATTCTAAGCTAGGAATGGTAACTGCTGAACTAGAAGAGACAAAGCAAAGGCTGCAAAAAGCACGAGAAGAAAGCTTGTTCATGGCTACTTGTCTTTCTTCTTTAGAAGAAGAACTTGAACGCACAAGGAAAGAACTCGAAAACCTAAAGGAAATAGGGCAAAAATCTGAGAAAATACATTCAGAGATAGAAGATCTCAAGTTTGTTGAGGACATGACAACAAAACTAGAGATTAATAAGGCATCCGAAAACGTTGAGTTTCAAAAGAAAAGATATGTGACTTTTGAAAATCCTTCTATTTTAAGCCATGTTGTTAATATTCCAAAATTAGGTGATGATCATGTTATATTGCAGAGGCATCCCTCCCTCAAGAAGAAGAAAAAGAAATCCCTTATCCCATATATAGGGGGGATTTTTTCAAGAAAGAAAGGTGGCTCTGAAGTTCAATTTGTTGAAAATTAGCAAACAAATTAAATATGCAAGCTTAGTCTTGATGAGGAATTAATGCATGACATGTCAGCTATCCAATCATTTCTTATAGTTTTGCTCAGTAGTGAAATGAGTTGAGCTAGTGAAGGCAAAGATGTTTCTTGGCAGAAATCTCTCAATTTAATAAGGCTACACTGTAACTTGAGGGATAGTTGTACTTACTATGAAAATCCTTAATGTAGTTCCTTAATTTTGCTTCTATATTGTAACGTAAAAATTAGTTTACCAGCTTCAAGAAGTTATTATTTTTCTTTTCTGTTTACCATACAATGGATGCCAACATTAGTGTTTGATAAATAAATACTATTAGTAAGTGAGTACACTACTAGAATTCCTGTAAAAAGCGGCCAAAGATTAGCGACCAAATTTGGTCTGTCAAGAAAAGCGACCAAAATTGGTCGTCAAACTGCCGAAAATAATAAAAAAAATATTTGAAATACTTTAGCGACCATAGTTGGTCGCTATTTGGCCGCAAATTTAGTCAAACTGTTGACTGGACTGGTCAGACTTGCTTGGTCAAAGATATACTGAGATTAGCAACCAATGTTGGTCGCTAAAGTGGGACCCACATAA